TGTTTGCATTCACATCAGTTCACAGCACGGCTTGATTCTGGTCAATATTACGATTTAAAATGCTTAAAATCTGTGGTTAAAAACTCTTAGTTTAATATGCATGTAACATTTAAAATTCTAACAACGTTATTCACAGGTTACAGTGAAGGCCAATGGCCTTTATAAAATCGAGAAATCTGTTGGAATCAACGATGGAAAACAGATCTTGCAATTCTTTGCTTCTAAAATATTTCCTTCGGATCTCTCCAAAGTCTGGACATTCTGTTAAGATGTGTCTAATGGTCAAATCTGGGTCGCATCCGACACAGAACGGTTTCTCATCTCCCTGAAGGAGGTATTTGTGTGTCAGGGGGGGGTGTCCGACGCGTAATCGAGTAAAAATGACTTCGTCTCTTCCGGAAGGTTTTCGTAGACCCAGTTTGGGCATGATGTTGTGGAGTTTGTTGCTAATTTGTTTCTCCCAATGTGTCTCCTACAGACTGGAGGTGCAGTTTTTAACTCTTTTTTTTTGTCTGTGGGAGAGCGTTCGTCGATGATCCCAACAGAAGGGACAAGGATTCCTTTGCCAGAAGATCCACCTACTCGTTTCCTCTGGTGCCCACATGGCTAGCTAGCCATGCGAACACGATACTTTTCCTGGTTTCATTTAAAGCGTGTAATTTTTGTTGTAACCTAACTATTTTTGGGTGTATGAGTATGAGTGTGAAGTTTGTAAGTGAGGTCATGCAAGACAGAGAGTCAGAAAGGATTTAGGAAAGATGTGTTGGGGGATTTTCTACTAAGTCCAATGCCATGTCAATGGTAGTGGTCTCCGCGGAGAAAATGGAGGCTTCGGGATGGTGTCTCCTCTGGTGTGTACTGTTTGAAGACAGGGAGGCAGCCCCCACAACTGAGTGCGATTTAGAGTCATCTGTGAAGATAAGCTCTGCACTTGGGTATTTTTCTGTAAAAGTGTTTTGTATTCTGCTTTTAATGTTTTGGTGTTTGTGCTTGCTTTGTTGTGTGTGGTGAGCTGTATAGTGGGGCAGCTAAGTGCAAAAATTAGCCGAATCATTCACATCGTCATACAAGCACCAAATTTTTAAAAAGTTTTAGTAGAGGTTTTACGGCGTTCGTAACTGCATACGGTCTTATGAGCGCCAGGAGATTAGAGGTGTTACAAGAGAGTAACAAACATAAAAAAAGAAGAAGGGGAGATAAGGACGATAGATGTTTGATAGGAAAGAAGAAGCAAACCACGCCAGAGCACCCGCCAACCACCAAAATTGGCATACATATCCATTATGACATGCGTATTCATAATCGAACGTTTACCACATATTTTTTTTCAATTTTTTTTTCAAGTTGGCCGCCATTGCCGGTATGCGCAATCAGATAATGTCCCACAGCATGAGGCAGTAGGGCAAATTATATGACTTTGGTGTCAAAATATATGTAACCAACCATGAAGAATTCATATTTATATATGCTTACACGATAATCACCACTTTAATATGTTTTTTTTAACATATAACAATTTAAGTGATTTTAAACTGCTATGAAACATTCAAAGAAGGTTCCGCTAACCAAAAACACTCAAAGGAACGAGAGACTCCATCCCCCATCTACATTGGTCTGTCAGTGTTTGCAAAGACCAGTTCGAAGAAACTCATACAGATGATCCATGTGAATGGATTAAGCATACCCTATGATCGAGTGCTGGAGATGTCCGCTGAGCTGGGGGGGGGGAGATGCTGTAGTGTTTTAGTACATCAGAAATAGAGTCGTCTGCCCCCTGGAGCTGCGAAAAGGACTGTTCACCACTTCGGCCCCGGAAAACATAGACCACAATCCATCTGCTACAACATCAACAACATCGTTCCGTGGTTGGTATAAGTTTATCGCTGTTCCAGCACCCCACCTCTGAGAATGAAGGAGAACAGCCGCAGAAACTGCAAGTAAGGGGTGTCATGTTGAAGACAGTCCCAGAACTTCCAGACTTTTATGCGAACATCAAACCTGCCCACTTCACCTATAAGAGCCCATATCCTCCTCAAGTGACTAACATGACTCTACTAGACATGGAGATTTTGAAACAACAGCTGGCTGGAGTATGAATGGCTCCAGAAAGTCTCCATCACAGAGGTACATGACAATATAAATATCTCATGGTCTTCCCATCACGCAGACAAAAAGAGGGGTCCTGCATTCAAAGCTTGTACAATGTACATCCACTATGCTGCCTCTGCTGAGAGATCAAGCCCACTCTGCAGCTACAGTACGACATGTCATAGACATGATAAGGGATGCAGTGAGGCTTCTCTTAACCACGGACAAGTGCATGTGATCACAGCAGATCAGCCGATATATGCCGCAGCCGAACAGATCCCGTGGCCGTGGCCTAAAGATTATGGTGAAAGTCAAATCGACATCATGTTTGGAGGATTGCACATTGAGATGAATGTGCTGCGTTCACTCGGTTCCCTCTTTCAATACAGCGGATGGACAGGAGCTCTAACTGAGGCGGGGGTAGCTTCATCTGGCTCAGCAGATTCTTTCCTTTCAGCTGCAAGTCTCACCAAGACCCGCCAAACCCACCAAGTAACAGAGTGCAGCCTCTACCAGCTCTTGAAATCAGTTTAATCTACATACTATATGTAGAAGAATTGGCTGACCCGAAGTTTTGATGACTGGTGTGAACATCGCAAACTACAGAGCCCACAGTTCTGTTACTGGAACATTGTGCTGCCAATGGAGTTAGCTGTTCTGCTATTCGTCAGGTCCTTGAGAGCATCCAACTTCAGTCTCTACCGTCAGGCCTTATGTCAGCTTATACCATATTTATTTGCAAACAACAACGTGAACTATGGACGGGCGGCTTCCTATACATCTGATAGATATGCTGACTTTGGAGATTTCATGCTGGGAAATTTGTTGTTCACAAACCCAACTGAGATTTCTCAGGAATGGCAATTGGCCAAGCACATGAACAAACCAATGAGTAATCAAAGGTGATGGAGGAGCAGTCGGAATCACTGAAGATCCATCAGCACTGAGAAGGTGTATGGTTGCCGCCCTGCTGTGTCACAGTATGTTGCACGGTATGAGGAGGCGTCAGTATTGAGGGGTGTCTCAGAGCAACTGGGAATTCATCTTTTCTTTTGAGGCACACTTAGAGACACTAAAGCCTGAAGATACAAGCTCGTTCTATGCACAATAATGAAGACAAAAATTTGACTTCTTTCAGCAAGAAAAGCTTAGCACTGTTGCCTTTGAAGGATACGGTGTTGAAGGAAGACTGTCAGCTTTTCTCAAAATTATTCATTTCCTATCAGAACAGAGTGGGTAAAGCTGGGGCGACCATCCCCGACCCACCGTGTCCACAGGTGGCGGATAGTAGAACGGCCTACATTATGTAGGGTAGCTTCGAATAACCAATAAGCAGTCGCGGACCAACTGGCGACAGTCTTGGAGAGCGAGGTGGGACAGGGTGGTGGCAACCCTGTCTCTATAAAATACCTCAGGTGCTCAGTAAAGAGACTGTCAGGCGAGAGGGAGGTGCCAAAACCTGCCACCTGCCCCCACTGCCTTGTGGGTTAGCCCTTTTGGACAAAGGCTAACGGAGTAAACCGTGCAAAAATCCAGCAGAAGGCAAGGGGAAACCACTGCTGTATTCTTTCCCAAGAACATCATGTATCATAACATAATTTCAATAAATAAAGATAACGACGTAAAGGGGAGCTCTGTAAGAGCTGCCTCGTCTGGTAGGGTCAGTCATGCACAGCAGGTGACACCAGATCGTCATCAAGATACTTCTCACAAAAGGAAAAATCAAAAAAGAAACAAAGCAACCTGGAATGTGAGAACAATGCTAGAGAGAGGAAAACTGGACCACATCAAGAAAGAAATGAAGAGAATGAATGTTAACATCATGGGTTTATGTGAAGTAAGGTGGACAGGAGCTGACAGCATAATATTATTGTCATACAGCTGTAAAATCATTTACTCAGGACGGGACAAACATGAAAGAGGAGTAGCGGTCATAATGGACATGCCAACATCGAAGATACTTAAAGGGTATCTGACAATATCAGACCGTTGAGACAGAAGTATGCTGGTGAGACTAAAAGGATCACCCTTCGATACAACCATCATCCAAGCGTATGCGCCAACCTCAGAAAGCACAAAAGAAGAAATAGAGAAGTTTTATGATGAAATGAACCAAGCAAAGACACATTGTAAATCACAAGATATTGTCATAGTATAGTCATGAGAGATTTTAATGCAAAAGTGGGAACAGCAAGAAATGAAGACATAGTGGGTCCACATGGACTGGGAACCAGAAATGAAAGAGGAGAATAACTGATAGAATGGGCCATCCCGAATGACATGATTATAGGAAACACTGGGTATGAACAACCACCGAGAAGATTATGGACCTGGAAGAGTCCTGGAGACAGCGCTCGCAACCAGATCGACTATATCATGATCAAGAAAAGATACAAAAACGGGATGCTACATGTCAAAACGCGCCCAGGAGCAGACTGTTACAGTGACCATGTACCCGTAGAGGGAAAATTTAGAATCAGATTGAAAA